CTCCCAGATCTCCAGATGCATTTGAGATATCAAAAAAGTACTCCAGAGTGTTGTTCAGCATGGGGGTGAGTAGAAAATGAAGGCTAATCAATGGCACAATGGCAGCCCCCTGCTCCCCAAGGGAATGGGTTAAATGCAGTGAGTGAATTTCGTTGCTCTGTACTTCTGACAGTGTAATGACAATAAAAAGCTGGAGGAAAAAAATTACGTTTAAAACAGCCTGCCATAGAAGCAGTGAGGTGTACTGCAGATTATAATGATGTCATCCTACAGGTTCTCCGGCAGGACCGACTGCGGCTGCACCTATCAGATGACCGCCTGTCTGCTGGATGAGAACCAAGAGGTGCTGCAGGAGTATAACCACGGGCCAGAGACTCTGGACCCGGAGGCAGACTGCTCATGGAAACAGGTCAGCAGCTTCTCTCCTTTTTTCTATATCTGAATAATATGAACATATTTCTGGAGTTTTTTTTTTTGTTTGTTTTTTTAACTCCAGGTTAGTCATACATTTTCTGACTACGGCCCAGGAATGCGTTTCATCTCATTCGAACATGGAGGAAATGACACCAGTTACTGGAATGGGTGGTACGGAGTTCGGGTCACTGGGAGCTCTGTGACTCTCCAGGCCTAAAGTAGAGAAAGAGCCGGAATGGAGAACGGAAAGAAGCGCCGACAATTAAGTAAAATGATGTGTTTGGAAAAAAAAGGAGGACTTGTTTAAAACTTTACGACTCTTAACGGCTGCTGTGACAGCGCTGCAATGATCCAAACCTTAATCCATAGCTTGTCCACTAATCATGGAAAATAAACTGAACTGTCGCTCACAACAATGAAAGTATTGATGTGTTTTTTGGTTGTGTAGCATTAACCTGTTGCACATTTTCTGGTTAGATCCACATGAATTTGAAGATTTTAAATGATAGACAAACCACCTAATGGTGTAAAATGTTTTAATTCATACAATACTGCAACTTTTCTGTAACCTTTGATAAGGTGCTGCATGTTTTAACTATATGTGGTTCAACAAACTCATGATAAATGTTCTAATAATTAAATTATTAATTTTATAATTACGGAAGGTATTTGGTATAAGGTCATTATTTAATGCTTCTACTGTTCAGCTCAAAATCAGGTCCAAGCTGGTTTGCACAACACACAATAAAACTGTTTAATTTAGGCATTACATTAATGAAGTAAATGCAAAAAAAAAAAAAGAACAGTCATCTGTCATCACAACAATGCAGTTTAGTAACAGTCCGGAGAGTAATCAATAACTGAATTTTAATTTGGAAAGCTCAGTCTTTAAACTTGCATCACTGTGTTTGTAAACGTGTAGCTCTGGGTTTTTCATGGTTTTGTAAATGAATCATTCTGGAACCACTTTTATCTGACTGATTTCCTACTTTTTTCTTGAATTGAGGAGGTAAGGAACATTATTTACCTACTCAAATTAAGGGTAAATACACTTAATTTTTTAAGACATTTTGACTTATTTCTAGATTGTTTTTGCAGTGTATCTTTGCCAACAGGTTAGATCGGACGCAAAACAACACTGTAAAAGTTTTTGTTTCCAAAATATGTATAAGGCACTCATTTAATCCTTTAAACCTCATTAATATAGTTAATCAATATCTGCACTGCAATAATTGAAATATTAAGTACTTTTTTCTTGAAACTAGTTTATTTTCTCTGGCTTTAAGCCAATGGAATAAGATAATTAACTTTTAAAATAAGAAAAAAAACCTCATTGACCTTATTTCAAGTGCATCACATCTACTTATCTTATTTTTTGCCCTTTAAACAGATAATTGGATATCTACTTGAAATAAGATGTTTATTTATTTATTTATTTTTTTTATAACATAAATCATTTGATCTGATTGAGAAAATGTCCCCCTAACCTGCTCAGAGGAAGGAAAAAACACTTGTTTTAAAGGAGAGGTCCAGTCATATGCAGAATTCAAACTTCTGAAGTACTTTAAATATGAAAATATTACAAACTGTTAAATGAATAAGTGATTTTAATTAATTAATTTTCTTTTGAATGTGCTTTACTGGAGGCATCCATGTTTGTCAAAGAACACTACTGCCACCTACTGGTTTGTGACATCACGGTGCGGTATCGGCTGTTGATCAAGTCCCAGTGCTGTATCTGGTGTTTGTCACAACGCGCTATTATCCAAG